GTTCTTACAACTATGGATCAGTTAGGCAACCCCTCCACCATAGTTAGGATCTGGAACGCCCCGCTTAGGCCCATGTGGTCTCCAGGGTGGTGCTATTGTGAGGTGGTAGGAACCATACAAGATCTGAGACCATAATGATCACTGAGCTACTCCTTAGTGAGGATTTACATCAACTGAGTGGCACGTGGGGCCCCTGAGACGGGGGTCTTAATGGAAGGTCCGGAGGTCATTAGGGACATGCCCCAGAGATTTAGGACTCCAGGCTCTTCTCCTTTCTCTCTTTATTTCCTGGCCAAGAAATGAGCAGTTCTGCTCCTCGCACGCACTCCTGCTGTGATGCGCTGCCTTACCACCGGCCCAAAACAGTGGCATCAATCAATCACGAACTAGACCCTGCCAGACTTTCAGCCTAAATAAACCTTTCCCCTTTATAAGTTAATAATGTCAGGTATTTTGTTGTAGTGATGGAAAGCTGATTCACACTCCTTCTAAGCTTTAGAAATAGTTTTAATAATGGTTTTGTTGGTGAGACCGTGTGACAGTCAAACCTGAGCATTGCTTAGTGAAGTGCTACCTCTTAGATAGGACATGTGATGGAAATACATGGTGAATATTTAAAAATGTTTATAAAACTTATTACCGTAAAAGATACACTGCCGCTCATGTCCTCAATGAATTCAAACTGTTCACCTCTCACGGTCCTTTTGACTTTGGCAAAGAACCAGAAGTCACATGGGGCCAGATCCAGGGAATAAGGAGGACGGGCAGACACTGCAATGTTATCAAAAGTCTTCCTTTTGCTCGGATGACACTTAACAGCAGCATTCATTGTATAGGTGACCGCACCTTATAAAGACACTCACGAACAAGATTTCCAGAAGCGCTTAAGAAAGTGACAAGAATAGGAAAAGTGTGTCTGAAGTGAGGGGGAAGTATTCTGAATGGGATTAATGGTAATGTGTCTTTCACTGTAAAAAATTCTAGAAATTTTATTTTGATCACATCTTGTTCATGGGGTTTATGGGAAAGTCCTGTGAACTCTCTAAGCCTTACTTTCCTTATCCGTAAAGTGGGAGTATTTTACAGATGGTGGCGGGCACGACAGTGGAGAAAAGCACATTATCTGAGATCTGCGGCCCTGAGTTGAATCCTGATTCTACCACTCGGTAGTGTTACGATTGAAGGCAAAGCCACTGACCTGTTCAAGCACTGTTTCACATGTGTAGAACAACAGTACTAACTAGAAAGGTGTTAGGAGAATCGAGTAAGTTAACAGACAGAAAGTGCCAGCACTTGGCATTCAGTGTGCTTGCTGGTGTTATTATCCCAAGTGTTAGGTTACTGTGAAGATATGAAGCACTCATTTAAAGCACAGGAACTGCACCGAGTAGATGCTCAATAAACCCATAGGTGTCTGTTGTTTCTGTGACTGGCATCCTTTTCTCTGTCTTCAGATTACAGAATTACTCTCTCCTGTGGGAAACCCATTCCCTAAACAGGCAGGATGAACACATGTACCAGACTTGTTCAATCAGAGCATACTGTCATACTGGTAACAGAAACGAGCCTGTGACCACACTAAGTAATCTGGGTCTTCCCTTAGTTCTTTTCCATCAGACAGTTGACAGAGTCACTCTTCACTGGATTTACAAAATATTAAGTTGTGAGTCTTCTTTGGCTGTCCATCATGCCCTCTGTTCCAAGATGGAGGGAGTGAGATGACATTACCAAGCCCCCTGTACCAGCTGTTCCTGAAACTGTAATGACCACTGGACTTCTAAGTTACACGGAGTAATGGCTTTCCTGTTGGAGTTAAATTTTAGTAGCATTCCTGGCAAGTAAATTTTAGTGTTATGACCACAGCCTAGATTCTCAATACATATCATTTCCCTTCCCTGTCACCACTCCAAGCGTGTCTTCCCATAGCACCGAGCCTTTCCAAAAGCATTATTTGGATAAACACTAACTATTCAGTAGTTTTTGTGTATAAGTCTAATAAAAGAGAAAAGTCCAGAGTGACTGCTTATCCCGCACAACTCCCTACAGAGCCATCAGCTGCACAGAGCTCCATTGAGTCCTTCCTGGGAAATGGCTCATTGCGTCTATTGAAATGCAGTGCTCTTTTAAAACAGAGCCAGTGGCATATGTATACACACTCATGACTGCACATTTATTGATTTCTAATTTGTACCCTGCTTACTTTCAAAAAGGCCCTGGAGTGGCTGACAAAATAAGACAAAGACATAATAGGGCCATTAAGAAAAATCAAAGATCAAGCCCAAAGAGGAAAAGCAATTGCTGATTATAGCTCAAACCTGGGTTAATATAGTTGCTTCAATAAAAAAATTATATTTAGCTTGCAGCTTTCTGGCAGCCATTCAGAACATGTCAAGATAGGGCATGTGGAGAACTGGGCATCCTTCTTGTCAACAGTTCTGTACCCACACAGGAGCCAAGCTGAAGCAGGTCCCCAGGGCAGAGTTTACTGAATGAATGAATGAATGAATGAATGAATGAATGAATCGGTGAATTAATGTACAAATGAATGAATGGTGGATAAAAGAATCAACTCTCTCTGAGAGTACTATTTACGCCATTGGGCCTATATCATTCATGTATTCATGCTCATCCAACTATCACTGGCTGAATGCCTGAGTGTCAGCCTCTGTGCCTGACCAGGAGTCCAGAGAGGGACAGTTACAAAAATGAACCGAATATCCTTCCTGCCTTCCCAGCTGCAGATCTCCGTTTTGAAGCTAAATTTCTGTGTAATTTGTCTCAGTGCTCATTGTAACTCCTAATCTTTTCAGGCCTCCCACAGAAAGAGCCCAGAAACTGAGCTTACAAAGAAGGAAATTATACAAATAGTAATAGTTATCTTTGACCTTCCACTTACACAGCCTGTTAAGACTAGAAAACGTACAGTCACACCAGCATCTTATTCAATACTTGCAGCTCCTCAGCTCTCTGTTAGAAAGTGGAAATTAGGACATAACCCAGGGGTTTCCATTTCTCTGTCCCTGGTCCCCAGCATCTGAGAGACCTGTTCACACGACCTGAAATTGGTCCTCCTTCTGAATCAAGACCAGCCCTGTACAAACAAGGCATTACCTGATGGTCATATGGAGGATTCTATGAGCAAGAAACAGCCCAGTGCACCTTCTGCAGCAGTTGGAATCCTCAGACCCCTCCTGCTCAAAGCCATCCAGCAGGTCCAGCCCCCCAAAATACCTTCCCTCTGCTTAGAAATGGATGCTGGAAAAAAGAAAGAAATAGATGCTGACATTTCAGATGAATATCATAAAGTCTTCAGCTCTTAGTTAAGCCCAGGTTGAAAAGACCCAATGCAGTGCTGGATGGAGAGATAGCTATTGACTGAGCATTTAAGGGAAGAGCTGTGTCACTGGTCCTCTGTATCTGTAAATTCCACATCCATGCATTCAATCAACCACAAATTAGAAATATTCAAAAGAACAGCATCTTGATTGAACATAGGCAAACTTCTTCTTTTCTTACCATTATCCCTAAAGAATGTGGTATGTAACTATTTACTTGGCATTTATGGTAGGTTCTATGCAAGTTCTATGTCATTTTATAGGAGGGATTTGAGTATCTGTGGATTTTGTTATCCATGTGGGTCTTGAAAACAATTCTCTGTGGACACCTAAGGAAAAGTATACCGGGAAGAGGAAGTTAAAGGCCAGGATGGTTTCTGGTACCTCTACCTGGTACAGCATTTCTAGCTCTGCTAGACACTCAGGCTGATAAACTGAATGTCCTTGCCCAGCCATTGGATGAAGACTAAGGGTGATGTACCTTTGCATGTTTTTAACTAAGTCAGCTATGTGGACCAAACAAGAAAAACAGTGTGTGCACCAAGAGACCTTGAGGAAATACAAGAGACCAGCAAGACCAATGCTCCACTGGAACGCCAGCCAACCCTGATCTGTTCTTATTCTAATGAAGTGCTCTTTAAAAATACATTGATGAACGCAGCCTGTGTGTGCATGTGTGTACTGCTCATGCAAAGCTCATTTGTAAGTATACACACTGACATGTGTTTCACATTTTCCGGTTTATTACAGAGCCTGTATGCTTTGTTTGACTCACAGGTAGATATTATAAACAGCCATTGGGAAGAATGGTGTCCACAACATGAATACTTTCCCAATAATGTTACAGTCTTCCCAGCCAGACTAACAAACTCACCACCTGACTGCTAAGCAGTCAGAAACCATGTCACTCCATTCGGAAAGTCAGGCCTTGGGCAACCTAGTTGACTCCATAATCTACATTAGTCACTGGCAGCAAAATTTTAGGGTCACGATCATGGAGCTGTTCACTTTAAATAATTAGCACTTGCCAAGATCACTCACAAGACATCAATCATAGTTTCAACAACAACCTGTATCTCTGTCTCAACCTTCTAAAGTCTCTGAGTGAATAAAAGTGCAGAGGTATCTCCAGCTCTTCCCTCCTCACATTCTGAACCATTCTGGAAGATCCATCTGTTTCTTCCTTTTCCCACCAAATCACAGACCTCAAGACCCAGAGTTCTTGGTCTGGCAATAATGGGAAGCAAACAGTGGGTAGGAATCTGCTTCAGCCAGCCAGGCACTGAGATTTAAATGCTTACTCCAAACCACGCTGTCTGAGACCACAGAGAATCACATGCAAATAAATTCACCCAAAACACTCTTCAGGGAATTTCTCTGATGTAAGTTCAAATACAAATTAAATGGAGGAGTTTCCTCCCTGAGAGGAGACTATCCACTCTACATGTCAATAGTCTTCACTGGCCATTTAATGCCACTGGCCTCTGGATGAAGAAACAAGAAGTCATCCCTGGAGATCTACAGGAGACATACCATTTCCGTGACCTCCTCCAAGTTTCCATGCTGGGGCCTGCCAGACTCCACACAGCATGGGGCACCACACTAAGGAAACCATATCCTTGTCACAAAGGCACGAGGTAGAGAATGTATGTCAACTCTACTTACAGTCTGGTGAGCTTTGGTGTGCTCTGGAAAAGCAGTTCTGGAAGAACCTGGAGCTTATTTTTGTTCAGACGCCTGTAGAGAAAAAGAAAAATGGAAAGATATCATTGGATCAGGTATATTCATAGACACTGGTTCAATCAATGAATCTGTCCATCAGCAGGTATTAAGCAACTCAGTATTGCATTGTGGGATGTTCAACATGTGTAAAGCATATATCATTTGGGCAAAGCTTGGAGGCAAGCTGGAGATGTCAAGCTAAGGTCAGTCATAAGCATAAACACAGTACATGTGTTATGCTTCCCCTCCTGTGGTAGGAGTCTACTACAGACATCACTAATGGATTACAACTGATCACAGAATAGACCTCAGACAAGACAAACAGAGAAAATGCCAAGGCTGATGCCCATAGGTTGAGAGACCAGTGAGCCGCTCCACATCAGGGTCTACATTATTACCTTCATGGGTCTTTGGCCTTTTAGCCTTTGTGGGCTACTTTCCTATGAGAAACTATTACAGATTACATTTTACAACTGTGTTGGTATAAAAACAAATCCATTTATATCACATGATATTTACTTCAACTTAAAAGATCATTTTCTCTTCTGATTTTCAAAGAAAAATTATTATAGGACCTGACAATATCATGGGATACTGTTTTGGATCTCAAATGTCCTCACCAAACCTTGTGTGTTCAGAGACTGGGGTTTTGAAAGGGTGACTGGATCATGGAGGAACTATACTCCCCAGTGGATTCATCGACTAACAAGTTCAGCAGTTGATTGTACTGTGGGGCCTGGTTAAACATAGATCACTGTGGACATGACCTAGAATAGTACATCTTTTCTTCACTTCCTCCCTTTTCTCTCTACCTCTAGATCACAATGATGTGTCCACCTTTCCACTGTGGCAGATCCTTCCACTGTGCTACTTCAGTCTGCCAACTATGGAATGAAACTTCTCAAACTGGGAGCCAAAATGAGCATCTCCTCCTTCAAATTGTGGTGTTAGATATTTTGTCTCAGCAATGAGGAAAGTAACTACAACATGACTCTCCAGCATTATCCCCTCTGTACCTGATACAGAAATCTATCCTGGGTCAGGAACTGAAGTCTAGGCATAGGATATGGCTTGATATGAAAGCCAGCCCACTAGGAATGGCCTTTGTTGGATGATGGCCAACAGAACCAATCCAAGTCTCGTCTGAATGCTGAATACCCAAAGGGAAGGCCATCTGAGTATCCAAGGGACACTGAGCCATTGTGATCTCTATGAAGGTTGCTTTCTAGAGGGAACTGGGGAGAGAGGAAGATCCTATGACTTGCTAGCTCCATGTCATTCTGCCTCAGTACCTATTCACAGCCTAATCAGTTCTCCCTTTTCACATGAATCCCCAAACCACTTTTTCAAGATACACCTCACACAGTCCTCAAAAAACTAAGATCAGAGGTCCCATTTGACCCAGCTATTCCCCTGCTGGGTATCTTCTCAAAAGAATTAAAAGCATCATATCATAGCAATATATGCCCACCCATATTCATAGTAGCACAGTTTGTAATAGCTAAATGTTGAAAACAGCCCAAATGCCCATCAACTGGTGACTGGATAAAGAAGATGTGGTTTTTCTACACAATGGAGTACTACTCAGCCATAACGAATGATAAACTAGAGACATTTATAGCTAAATGGATAGACCTTGAGAACATATTCTAAAGTAAAATAAATAGGACACACGTGTGTAAATGCTGAATTGTTTTTATGGTATGAGAAACTGAAAGTGTAACTGGGGATCAAAACGTATAGATGATATTGTGAAACAGGAAGAAAAGGTTCAAAGGGGAAGGGGAGTAAGGGTGGAGACTGGAGGAAAGGAAAGAAGGGAAAGACAAAAGATAAGAAAAGAAGGGAGAAATAGAAACACAGCGTTTGTAAATAGAGAGGGGTAGAGTGGGTGGAAGGGGAATGGAAAAAACAAGAACAAAGAAACAGGTACAGAGTCACAATGATGAATGCGATCGTAAAGTACACCTCAAATGTAGCAGTAAACTAAATGAATAAAAACCAAGAACAGACCTCACAGACGGCAGGATTCTCTAGCATCAATTTTAGTATATGGGTGGTTGAAATGAGCACTCCACTAGTGCCGAAAGGCAGTGTATAGTTTAGTGAATTTTCCCCACAGCTTATACTCTCTTTCCCCCTGCGTTCACTCTCTGCAGACATGACTCTCTACATCTTGTTTCTCTTACAACTCTTTTAACCCTTGTGTCAATGGACAGAAACTTCAGCACGATGAGGGGACTAAAGGTGATCAAAAGGGCCTAAACCTGGGAGAGAAGAACACTGAAGACCCTATCTAATAACCACCCTTTCAAAGAGGGCACAGCGTGGCCTGACAGAGCCCATGCAGTGTACGGATAGCTGTGATGAGGGATCCTGTCTGGGAGGCTTCTGATGAGAAGGAGGCAAGGAGTAAAGGTTGGAGAGTTGGGTGAGACAATCTCCAATTCCTTGTTCGACTCTAAGGGGGGCACTGATTCTTGTATTAGTGCTCTTTTAGGATCGTAGAATTTTTAAAAATTCTAATAAAATTATGTAAAAAAAGATTTACCATCTCCCACAGTCTGTACAGTTCTGTAATGAGGAGCAGGTTTACCTGGTTGTACAACTATCTCCAGGACATTTTCATCTTGCAAAACTGTCACTCCGTACTTCTTAAACTACAGCTCCCTATTTCCTCCTCTCATAGCCTGTGCCAACTACAATTCTGCTTCTGTTGCCATGAATTTTTCTTCTGCTCTTTTGACCACTGCTGGTGTCCTTAGTTCATTTGCTAATGTCACCGAAAGGGAAGCCAGGGAGGAGGGAGTGGAATCTACTTCCTGGTGTAGAGTGACACTCATGTGATCAATGCTAAGTCTCTTTGTAACAGGTGGAAGCCACTGGTCCTGAAGAAGGCATGGTGTTTTGGGGTTAGCCAGGGCTGAGCTCAGGTCTAGCTGTGTCATGCTGTTATTGTACAACCTTGAACAACTTCCCTAACCCTTTGAGCCTCAGTTTTCCAACTGTAAAATAATCCTACTGTTTTAAATGGCCCAGTGCATGGGCAGGTGTTTAGCCCTGCAGTAATAGCCTGCAAATAACCTTCAGAATAATGATGACTGAGTCCTACCTGTGTGTCAAGCACTGCTATACGCTGCCCCAGCAGGACTTACACTGCAGTGGATCCTATGGCTGGTACTGTTACGATTTCTGTCTGTTACATAAGAAATTCAAAGCCCAAGGAGGTCAAGCACATTCCTGAGGCCACAGTGTTAGCAGGTAGCGGCTGAAGGATGCAGATACGGTCAGCCTGGGTCCCGAGCTTTGGTTCTAAACTACTATGGAACTAAAAGTCTTCAATAAATGACAGATCCCTGCCCTTTTCTCTTCATCATTTTTCTCTATTTCTTTTCATCCTGGGATGCCAATTCCTCCACCTGACCCAGAAAATGACCATCTTGGGTACATTGCCCTTCCTGAAGAGACCTCTCTTGAAGGTCCCAAGACAAGAACTGTGTTCCTATATAGGTCTCTCTGGAACCACCCTTTATTGTCACAGCTGTATAAAGCCTGGTGAGAGTTACATTCAGGCACCCAGTCTAGGCAAAAATTCTAAAATCTGGCCCACCACTGTCTGCAGTGGATAGGGTGGTTAGTGTGTTAAAAGCCCTAAACCAAGTTAAAGCTAAAAATAAAACAAACTTGGCTCTGAAGCTCCCGGAAGGGAAGGAATCACTTTCATTTCTTTGCCTGTATTTGTGGCCAGACAAAAATAAAAATGCAACCAAATTTAGCCAATTATGCACTGCCTGCTGCTTCATAAACCCTGAATGAGGATTTGGGTGGTCAGGCTGGGCTCCAATTCTAAAAGCCTTGGGGTCTTTCCACTTCAGCTTGGGTGGGTTACGTGCTAGTTCTCCACATCAGGAGCTTGACACTGTAATTCCAGGTCTCTTCAGCATTTAGTTTCGTTTACTTAGTGAACAGGCAGGGCCTAGAAAGTTCCCTGAAAAGTCGATGAAGGCTCCAAGGTGCATAAGGTGCATTTCCCATGTGATTGCTATAAACGCAGCCTGTAAACAGGACAATGAACGGAACACAGTGTGCTCTTCTCCTGTGAGAGGAACAGGCATGTCCTGGGCTGCAGACAGTGACCAGTGGCCATAGGGCACTCATGCCATCTGCTGCTATGTTACCCTGGGTCTACGGGTAGAAATCTCTAGCCATGGTTCAAGCTGGTAAGCAGGACTGAATGGGATCAATACGATGACAGAACTAAAGAGGTCATCAAACAGGCCAGGTCAACCACATGATAAAGCCTACCCAGGGGCCCCTCTCCCTCGAAGGTCAAAAGTATCTCAAAGCTTTACTACTAGCACTGTGGCCTCAAGGTCAAAACCTCACTGGCTGCTGAGTTGCAAAGTCTTAAACTGTGAGGCTCTAAGGAAACAAAGTCTTGTTTTTGTGGAGCCACTGAAGACTTTCCCGGATATACATGGGTTTATAAGACACAACTAGAAGTTTTTGTTACTTTGTTAAATTCATCCATTTAGTCAACCATTCTACCAACCATCCAACTATCCATTCAATTGTCTATCCCTCTAACATTTATTTATCCATTAATCTAGCTATGCATTCATCTACCCATCATCCATCCATCCACCTATCTCTACATTCAATTATATTCATCTTTCTAGTCACCATTTAGCCATCCATCCTTCCATCTCTCCACTCCTGTTTAAATACGATCATACCAAGATGGATAAGAGACATCCCATTCCTTTAAGAAGGTCATTTGCTAGTAGAAGATGTAGCTGTGAAAACAAAAACTGTACTATGATCTTGTAAACAAAGGTGTTGTATTATTACAGAGGAGGGGCAGCTACTCTACCCTGTTCCAAAGACAGAAAGTTTGAATTTAGTTTTGGAGGATGAGTGTGACTCTTCAGGACACATGGACAGTGAGCTCTAGACTTCCTGTATGTGCATTCCCAAGGATAGCCAGGTCACTGAGGTGCAGACTCTATCACTGG